CTGATCCACTGTGAAAGTGGAGGCCTCCATTCACTAGTCATAGCAGAAGCCTTTGAGGACGATACTGGACGTTACACTTGTCTGGCATCAAATTCTGTTGGCTCTGATAGTACTTCTGCAGAAGTGTTCATTGAAGGTAAGAAAAAGGGTAAAATGAAAATACTTGGACCCCTAAATCAGTTAGGCATTGCAGTGCTGAGCTTAGCAGTACTTAAATACCTTTACAAATCTGGGCCTACATTTCTTTGTCAAAAGGGATCTAGGCATATGGGAGCCAAAATCCCATTTTACAAATGAAGCTGACTTTAGATACTGCACATTAGGACTTTGTCTACACTGGCGCAATCTTGCACCAGAAATATGCAAATGAGGCTAAATGTGGAATATCACCGATCCTCATTTGCATATCTAAAGAGCCGCCAACATTGTGGAAGAGCCTCTTTCAGGAATAACAGCATTGCACAAGAGGGTTTTTCTTATGCAAGAAGGGGCAGTGTAGACGCTCCTTCTTGTGCAAGAGCCTCTTCCGCAAAAATGGCAGCTCATTAGCTATGCAAATGAGACTCGGCGATATTCCACGCTTAGTCTCATTTGCATATTTTTGGCGCAAGATGGTGTAGACATAGCTTAGGTTTTGTTTATGATTTGTTGCTCAACTCACTTGCATTTCTGGGTCTCTAAAAGTTCACAGAAAGTTCTAGACATTGACGGGAAGAATCGTATTGATTCTGATAAGCACTGGTGCACTAAAAGGGGAAATGGAAGAGAGACAGTCACCCTGGCACCTGCCTAGCAGATATAAGTGCTTCCATAGTTTTATAGGTCAAAGAACCTCTTGATTGTACCCATTAACACCTGCTGGCATAATTGTGGCAGCTCAGCTCTGCCTATCTCCCAGTGCAGTTTAGAAACAGACACCCTGAATGCAGTACCTCCCAGGCCCAAATCAAATAAAAAAAATTGGGAGGAAGAGTGGAATGGGGACTCTCACAGATGCTGACATAGGGGAAGGATAGATGGTGGATGCTGGTGTGGGGAGGAGGGAGGAAATGGTGGGACAAAGGTGGGGGAGAGAATGAAGAAATCTGGAATGAGTGGGTGTATTCACAGATTCCATGGGGCTTGCTGGGAATCCCTGGAATAGAGGAATGGGAAGGGGCCATACAGGGTGCTTGGAGTGGGGGAAGGAGATGAAAGGCGCACCTGTCTATAGAAATAAGAAGCAACAAATAGTCTGAGCCTCTATTTAGGATTATTTTGGTATGAAAACCATTTTGACACTATAACCTTTTGAAGTGTCATGGGACAAACTTAGACTCCATTACTTTAAACTGAATAAACGCAGGGGACTGATCACAGATGTAATGTGACTCATTTGTTTGCAAATTAAGCAATTTTTAATTGAATGTACTAACATCAAACAAAAGAAATTCTGACGCACTAATGAATGCACTGAGAATCTGGCCTGCATGCTTTAAATATTTGCTCTTTAAAAATTTTAAGTGAGATTAAAATGCAGGCATTCCTAGAACTAAATACCAGCAATTCTTCTCATCTTTCTCTGGATTCAAAATTCTCATAGCTCAAGTATCATATTAGCCAACTGAAGTTAAGCTCTTTTGGAAACCCATTCAAAGGAGTTGTTAATTATGCCATATTTAAAGCCATAGTTGAGTTAGTTCAGTTTTTTCCTGTGAGCAACTAATGTTCTTTCAGCCATTTTCAGCATAATTTGTTTTATTGGGGGTTTTAGTTCATAAATGCAGCCTGTTACATTTTATCTATTTACAGCTAAATATATAAAAATAGATGCAAATGTAATATTAGTACTATTTTATCATTGTATAAGCATTTTTATTTTCAATATTCAGTACTTAAATTCAAAGGAACATCCCTATCCTTGTGAACATATTGTTTCCTCTAGATTTACAGCATTGGTGGGGATTCTGCATCCCGCAGGCAATATGTGGGCCTGTGGGACTCCACTTGCAGCCCGCGTACCCTTGCCTCATTGTTCCCCCACATGCCTCTCGCACTTTCGGGCACTAGATACCCTCACTTCACTCCTCCCTCCCTCCCACAGCTTGAATGCCTGAATCAGCTGTTTGGGAATAGAGCACAATTCAACGGATTCATGGCAATCTGAAAGTACGGGAAGAGAAGGGGAAGAGTAGGATGCGCAGGGCCTCAGTTCACAAAAGGTGCATCGGGGAGACGGGGTGCCCGGGCTGTAGGTGGAACTCCAGTGGGCTGCAGGTCACCCACCTATGCAGCCCACTCACCATTCTTGGTTGCCCATTGCTGATCTAGAGCTTTTATTCTTCATTAAGATGCATTAGCATCATAAATGATCTGGAGAAAGGGGTAAGCAGTGAGGTAGTAAAGTTTGCAGATGATACAAAACTGTTTAGGATAGTCAAGACAGAAGCAGACTGTGAGGGACTCCAAGAAGATCTCACCAAACTGAGTGATTGGGCAACAAAATGGCAAATGAAATTTAATGTGGATAAGTGTAAAGTAATGCACATCGGGAAAAATAACCCCAACTATACGTACAGTATGATGGGGGCTAATTTGGCTACGACAAATCAGGAAAGAGATCTTGGAGTTATCATGGACAGTTCTCTGAAAACTTCCACACAGAGTGCAGCGGCGGTCAAAAAGGCAAATAGGATGCTAGGAATTATTAAGAAAGGGATAGAAAATAAGACCCAGAATATCTTACTGCCCCTGTATAAAACTATGGTACGCCCACATCTTGAATACTGTGTACAGATGTGGTCTCCTCACCTCAAAAAAGATATTTTGGCCTTGGAAAGGGTTCAGAAAAGGGCAACTAAAATGATTAGGGGTTTGGAACGGGTCCCATATGAGGAGAGGTTAAAGCGACTGGGACTTTTCAGTTTAGAAAAGAGGAGACTGAGGGGGGATATGATAGAGGTCTATAAAATCATGAGTGGTGTGGAGAGGGCTGATAAAGAAAAGTTATTTATTAGTTCCCATAATAGAAGAACTAGAGGACACCAAATGAAATTAATGGGTAGCAGGTTTAAAACTAATAAAAGAAAGTTCTTCTTCACACAGCATGTAGTCAACCTGTGGAACTCCTTGCCAGAGGAGGCTGTGAAGGCTAGGACTATAATAGAGTTTAAAGAGAAGCTAGATAATTTCATGGAGGTTAGGTCCATAAAAGGCTATTAGCCAGGGGATAAAATGGTGTCCTTGGCCTCTGTTTGTCAGAGGCTGGAGAGGGATGGCAGGAGACAAATCGCTTGATCATTGTCTTCGGTCCACCCTCTCTGGGGCGGATACTGGGCTAGATGGACCTTTGGTCTGACCCAGTACGGCCGTTCTTATGTTCTTATGTACATTTAATGTACCCATTCCTCAAACAGTTTTCTCTCTAAAGCCCCACCAAAGACCACTTTTTCCTTCATTTATGGATAGCCATGAGAAACTTCCATGTCAACTCAACTTTAAGGGTGGCAACCATGCTGATAAAGTTCACTGCAGCGCTTGTCAGACAGCTGCTGCGTCTGCTAACTTCTTCTCAAAGTCTTTTCTTGTTAAGAATCACAAAAAGGAGTCAGGGAGAATAGCTCATCTACTCACTGTTTTTTTTCCCCCCACAAATTAGCCCTAATTTCTGATACACTGATTTTTGGTTCATTAATTTCTGGCCCCATATTTTTCTTGTTTACCGGACATGATATCTTAAAGCAATCCTTCCTTGACTTACATTAATTTAATCTTTCCTTTCCCTTTTGCACCTTTCTTCATCAATTTATTGCTTTATTTTATTGTGATTATTTTTATAAACTTTCGTTCACTTTTCACAGCTGAGCTCAGAAGTAGGGTAAATTTGTAGGTTCAGTTATTACAACACACCTATTTCCTAACTTTTATAGTCTAGCAACACTGAATATAGACAGAATCATGCAGATATATAAATATTCATCCTTTCCCCAGAAGCCAGTCTTTGCAATAAGCAGCTACTTTGTAGAACATGATTTTATCAAACACAAGTTTCTGAGGCTAGGTTCAGAATAAGCAAGAACAGTTTTTCATTCTCATGCATCTCTAAAGAAGAAACCCCTTCTCCCTTCCTCCCCCCTCTCCTCCTGCCACTCTCCTCTCCTCTCCTTACCAAGTGTATTGTAAATGTGGCTCTGAATAAAATTATTTTTTTGAAATGTCAGTTTCTGGGTTTTTGTTGTTGTTTTTTTTTTTTTTAAAGCACATGAAAAAAGTTTTATTCCCATGTTCAATATGTTCTGGGATACATAGATTATATCAAAACTCTCAGTTGCACAGAATGCCTGGATTTAAATTTGGAGTATGATAAATGGCAGACATCAAAATTTGAACCTTAATTCTGGTATTTTTCAAAGCATTAAATTTCTTTCAAAGTCACCATTAATAAAGAACTAAGACCCCTGGTTATTATGTGCACAGTCTCATGCAATCATTAATGAAGGGGGTAAATGGGAATGAAAGACAGCATTTTACTTCTCAGAAGGTTGCAGGGTCCTCAGCAATAGATTGATGATTATAATGCATGCAGGTGAATATAAATAGCCTCTGAACTGAGAAAGTAATGTGCGACCAGTTTAGCATGCAAATGTTATCCTATACTGAGTTACAGTTAAGGTTAAAGTTTATCTATAAATGTATTGGCCACACCTGTTCACTTAAACCAGCAAGTGGATAAGCCTGTTTGCTACTCTGTAACAAGTATAAGTATGTAGCTATAGAAGGGTGATGTCATTTCTATAAATATTTGTATATTTACTAGTGTAAAGCCTTACTTGACAGACAGATGAAAGCTTAAAAAATCAACCTGATGCAACAGCACCACGTTGGGATATATGACCAGTTTATTTAAACATGCTTGTTACATTACCCAGGGTACAATCTGGACTGTTGAACAGCTGAGTCCCCTCAGTTCTCCAATCTGCAGTGCCTTTTACTCTTCTTCATTGTGAGAGCAACCCCTCCTGGTCTGCCCCCCCACAGCTTCCAGTAGATAAATGACACCCCAGATGTACTGTGTGGGTGATATAGCTAGCTAGCCACTCATGAATTATGTTAGAATGACACCAGCAAATTCCCAGCCCCAGACTTGTGTCCAGAAATCTACATCTCATATTGCCCAGTACCCTCTTAGACTTACTATGAGCTTGTATTTTTCCATCATTTCATTAATAGAAAATGATACATGAAGATCTTGTTTTCCCAGACATTTGAACCCAAACACACTGGTTTAGATAAAACAAGTTTATTAACTATGGAAATATTTTAAGTTATTACAAGCATTGAGGTATAAAAGTCAGAATAGGTTACAAAGAAATACAAGATAAAAAATAAACTAGTACCTAGCTTAACAAGATGCTTTAAATTCACTCAACAGGTTTCTGTCACCACATGCTTACAGAAGTCTGGCTGGTTTCCTTTCTGCCAGAAGCCCTTCCCCAATTCAGTGGTGCTTCCTTTGTCTTTTAGGTGGTGTTGATGCAGTGAATAGAGATGAGAGGGAAGAGATAAAATGAGGCATTTGCACCAATTTTTATAGCATTTCTCTTCTTTGAGAATCCTCTCCAGAAGGTGTTAAGGCAACAACCAGTCTTTTTTTGCCAACATGTACATTTTTCACTTACACTCTTTTTAATGCCAGAAAATAGCTGCTTAACTAGTTTGTGGTCCATTTGATTATGTTGACATGTAGCTGAGGTCATGGCTTGCCTGTTTTCTCTGGGGAACTGGTTTGGAGCTGTTTCCCCAAACTTGGAACATGTCTTAAACAGTAGAATTTTATAACTTTACATACAATATTGCCATACATTTTATTATGGCAAGAATGATTAGTAAATTATGAGAGTTTAACTGAAAACTCTCAAGGCACACTTTGTACAAAATTTATCATAGCCTTGTAAAAAAGGGTGAACCTGAAGGCACAGACTGTCACAATGCTTTACTGGGAATCTTGAATTAATGCTGATGTTTTACATTTTTTTAAAGCTCTCTATATGTTAGGTAATACAGTTTCTTTCATGTAAGATCAAATGCAGTCTCTGATGCAATCCAGGTCTATGTATTTCCACATCTTGGCCCACAAAGACATTGAAAATGCCACACATCACCTTTTTAAACATACGTTGGTAGCACAGAAGGGTGATTTCTTCAGGACTCTTGTCTGTCATGCATATTAATTTAATAGTAGCACATAGCAGCAGCTTCCTTATATTTCTTATGTCTTAAATACCCTGTCCTAGAATTAATTAAAAATTCATCCCCTTAAACAAAGCAAAAACGACCCATGCTTGCCAATGGAAGGGGTGCGGGAAGCTGGGAGTGAGGGAGGGCAGCTGGTTTCAGCAAGATTACTGAACATGCTCAGTCCAATGAGCATTCTTAGGAGTAGCCAAGCAGCAAATCAGGGCAAGACGCATGTGACCCCATATGCCCTGCACGTGTTGCCTCTGCTCCAAATAGTTCCATGATGTTAAACCAGTAAGAAATTAATATGACTGATTAACTCCTCTTCTAAGGAAAAATAGTGTGTGTGTAGGTAGTCAATTTTTTTCCTGCTTAACTTGCATTAATGTGAAGGAATTAAAAACTCCAGGAAAAACAATTAACCTTTAATAATGTGTATCAGTACAGTTACCCCTCCCAAGCTGTTTAAAGATCATGAAGTCATGCCAAGTAAACAGAAACGCTACAGTTTTTTTTTGAAAAAATAATTTCTAGCTCTGCATTGAAATGATTTCACTTATAGTACATCCTATAAATTCATTTAATTTAAAGCTGTCAGAATAATACTAAATAAGTATAGTATTTTGAAATTAAACATAGTGGAGATCAGGGAAAGTGTGTAACAACACTAAATATACCCTCTTTCCTCGCAGGTGTCAGCTCAACAGATTCTGAGAGTGAAAGTTTAGTTTTCAAATCAAAATCTGGAGCTATGCCACAGTAAGTGTACTCAGTAATACCTATGGTAAGCAAATTTACTATGTAATTGTATAAGAATGGTAGCAACACTGTTCTGTATCTTTCCTAGCTGATGTTACTCCAAAAGATGAGGCGAACTCTGTTAATCAATGATCAAGATATGTTAAAGTACAATACCGGACCTTGATCCTGGGACTTGCTACATGCTGGTTTTATTGTAGGCTCAGAGCTATCAAAACAGAAAACCACATTAGACCAATGGACATCTATCTAAAAGAAAATATGTTGATTTATAATGCATGCAGAAAATAGCAATAACCAGATCAACTTTGTTCTATTCACAGAGCATCAAGCAAAGGGAACTTTTTAAAACAACAAAATCAGTTTAACATATGGAAGAAAGTTTAATATGTGCTGGAAAATTACATATACATCTCTGTGACAAAGGGGTAAATAGTTGTATAGCTGAGCCAAATTTATATTTGGAAATACTTTTGCAATACTGTATTTGAATAAGCATATGGAAGGCATTCATGTAAAAGTATTTATAACGATCCCATTTTGATGTATCTGGAAATTAGGTAAAATTTTGAAAGTAAAAAAGCAAAATGAACAATTTTACAAGTCTGTGAGGTTTTACCCAAAACAAAATGCGGTTCCTTGCTCACCTGTATCAAATATTTCATAATTGAAGGTGTTTTTTTGGATGGTGCCAAAAGGAGAAAAGAAGGTTGGAGGTGTAGTGGTGAGAGTTTTTTCTGAAGCTTAAACAGGCAGTAATATATCTGTTTCTATTGTGAGAACTGTATCTTTATAAAAGGAAAAAAGAGAAACTTATTTTCTGGATGAAATCTTAGAATTTGCAAAGTATTTTAGAATACAAGAAGCCTTAAATTGTTTATGTTCAACACTTTCTTCTATCCTGGACATTCAGAATTTTATTTCATTGGTTTCTCTCATGGAAATAATCTCTGTCAAACATATTGTGTCACATCTCTTGTCCCTGACTAGTCTCTTTCTTTGATTAGGTAGAGAAAACATGCAGATTACGTCTACACTATGAGTTTTCTTGTCAAAAATATGCAAATGAGGGACTCATTTGCATGAGGCATGATCTCATTTGCATATTTTCTGTGGATCCAATCTTGCGCTGGGGTTTTTGCGCAAAAGCAAGCAGTGTGGACGTTTTCTTTTTGCGGAAAAAAACCCTTTTTCCACAAGATCCTCATGCCCCCAAAAAAGAGGTTTACCAATCTTGTGGGAAAAGGGGTTTTTGCACAAAAAGAAAACGTCCACACTGCTTGCTTTTGCGCAAAAACCCCAGCGCAAGATTGGATCCACAGAAAATATGCAAATGAGATCATGCCTCATGCAAATGAGTCCCTCATTTGCATATTTTTTGCTGAGAACTCGTAGTGTAGACATAGCCGCAGTGTTACAAGTGTGGGCATCACTAAAGATCAGATCTGCCATCTGTGTTCATGCTAATTCTGAGCAGTCACCCTGAAGAAAATTGACTATTTGTGGAAAAGTGGATATTTATTCGTTGTGAGTAAGGGTGGCAGAGGCTGGAGCTAACTTTATGAAATCCTAGCACATACTAGCTGTGCACATTAAGAGGGTGTATCACTGACCCCTTCCCTCTCTCCTTTGGATTGATTGATTGATTGATTGATTGATTTTAAAATACAGTCAGGACTTCCCTGGTCTAGCACCTTTGGGACCTAAGTGGTCCTGGATTGCTATAGGCCTGCTGCTCCCAGCCCTGCAGGGGTTGTGCTTCCCAGTGCACTGACCTTGCTGGAGTTGCGCTCTTGCATTTGGCTCAGGCTGCACTCCCTGACTCCAGTCCAGGCTGGCTGCAGCACGGCTACTCTCCCTGCTTTGCTGGCCGTGGCCAGGGCAGTGCTGTCAGCCTTCTGCTTACCAGGGCTGTTTTCTTGATCACTGGCACTGCTTCCTCCTGCTGGGTGGGGCTGCACTCCCTGCTGTGCTGGCCCTGCTGCTGCCGGGGCTGCGCTTCCAGGCAGGGCTGTGCTCCTCATTATGCTGGTCCCATGCTCCCTACCACCAGCCCAGCCCCTGAACCTGGTCAGCCAGGTTCTGGACCAGCAATATCCATGGTCTTTCCAGACCACAGATGTAGTTGGACCAGAGTGTCCTGGATTTTAGAGGTTCAACCTGTAATTTTCTAGAACCTGTCGTCCAAACCTAAGCAAAAGTAGTAATCCTCAGACTTGAGTGGATGTCAAGTTTGTTTTCTAAATAAAATGTTTTGTTTTACAGTTTATACATTCCCATAACTGAAAAGCAGCTGATGAAGGGATTTTGCTCAAACCTTCCAACATATTGACTGTGTCTACACTGGCACCTTTTTCCAGAAATGCTTAAAACGGAACAGTTTTCTGTTATAAGTATTTCCGGAAAAAGAGTGTCTACATTGGCAGGATGCTTTTCCGGAAAAGCCCTTTTTCTGGAAAAGCGTCCGTGGCCAATGTAGACGCGCTTTTCCGGAAAAAAGCCCCGATCGTCATTTTCGCGATCGGGGCTTTTTTGCGGACAAGACTACTCTACACTGGCCCTTTTTCGGAACAGTTTTCCGGAAAAAGGACTTTTGCCCGACAGGAGCAGAATAGTTTTTCCGGAATAGTGGCTGATTTTGTACAGTAGAGCATCGTTGCTTTTCCGGAAATTCAAGGGCCAGTGTAGACAGCTCGCAGCTTATTCCAGAAAAGCGGCTGCTTTTCCGGAATAAGTGGCCCAGTGTAGACACAGCCATTAGGTTTAAGGCTGATATACTCTGTCTTTGCCCAAAGTGAATATTTTGGAATGCTAGAAATATGGACTAAAATGGAAGCTGATTTTGTAATTTTAAGGTGACAGCGTGATCAGAATTAGTTTATATATTGCATAGAGATACAGAGAGGTAGGCAGACACAGTGGTTCAGGTAATATTTTATTGGTGCAACATCTGTTGGTGGAAAAAACCCAAACTTTTGAGCTTACACAGAATTCTTCTAAAAGATACTCAGTACCTTATACTAGGCACTCAGACCTCCTGAAGATAGAGCTTTGTGCAGGCTCAAAAGGCTGGGTTTTTTCATCAACAGAAGTTGCTCCAATAATATATTATCTTACCCACCTTGTTTATCTAATATCCTGGGATCAGTTTAACCGCAACAACATTGCAAATAAAATACAGTGTCATCTCTTTTGGTTAAACTCAAAATTCTTTTGGGATTTGAGATAATTTTGGTTCCAAAGGAGCTCATTTCATTCCATGTGATCTGACAAAAATGTTAATTTTTCACTTTTATCCAGGGCCCAGAAGAAAACCACTTCGGTTTCCTTAACAATAGGATCATCTACTCCAAAGGCTGGAGTTACCACAGCTGTAATTCAGCCTATCTCTGTGCCCATTCAGCAGGTACTCAGGCATTATGTTGTTAAATCAGTCAAATACATTAAATTTTGGGGGAGGGGGAACTTCCATTTGGGGGGTGAGAGATCGTACGTATTATTGAACTTGAAATCTGAAGAGCAACTTAGCAAAAACAATTGTTCTCAAACTATTATTTTATTTGTCACCTTTCCATGTATAGGGTATGTCTACCCTGTGGGTTAAAGTCGAGTTAAGATACACAACTTCAGCTACATTAATTGCATAGCTGACGTCGAAGTACTTTAACTCGACTTTTGGCGCTGTCTACACAGCAAGAAGTCGAAAGAAGAACATACTTCCTTGCTCCTCATGAAATGAGGGTTGTTACAGAAGTCGGAGTAAGAAGACCGTTATTTTGGGCTTGCTGTGTAGACATGCATTCTGTTACTTCAAAATAACTGATGTTATTTTGAAATAAGTGTGCAGTGTAGACTTTGCCCATGTGAGCATGTGTGCATATGTTTTAGATTTTTTTACACCACAATCATAACCATAATGTCAGCATGTTCTCAATACTATACAGTATAGTACATTAATATGATTTATGGTAGTTCTCAGCAGTCTAAATACAATATACATAAGAACTCCCTATGTATATTACATTTAATTATGTACTTTTAGCACAAAATGACTAATTTTTTTCTGTGGTTAACTTAAATCACATAGTTGTGGTTTCAGTTATAGTAGTACATCAGCTGTTGGAAGTAAGTTTGACTGAAGTAATTATGAGTTATAAAGTATCTATACTTTATAGATACTTTGTCTCTAGACCATCAAATTTTCTCTCAATATTAACTTAATTGAAACTGACCCTTCTCCCTCTCCTGCTCCCCTTTTTTTACATTGGCTCCTTGTACTTTTAAAAAAAAACAAACCCAACATACTACAGGTTGGACCTCCCTCATCTGGCACCCTCAGGACCTGACAGGTCCCGAACAAGGGGGTTTGCCAGACAAGAGGAGGTCCTTCCCAACATGACCCGTGCTGTCCTGCTGCCCCCAGCTAGAGCTCCAGCCCAGCCTGCTAAAAACTAAGCTCTGTGACTGGCGCTAGAGATCTGCAGCCACTGCTGGGCCCGAACTCCACAGCCATTGCCAGGCCCTGAGCTCTGTGGATGTGGCCAGAGCTCCCCAGCCACTGCCGGACTCCCAGCTCCTAAGCCGGGGCTGGAGCTCTCTGGCTGTGGCCAGGGCTAGAGCTTTGATACTGACAAAGTTTCTTTATGCCCCTCCCCTCAGTATTAGTCGCCCATAGCTGCCAAACCCTGCTACCTCCCAGCCACAGGTGCCGTCCACCCCTCCACGTCCCCCCACCCTGCATGGTACTCCCATGTGAGTCGCCGGTCTCCTCGCCACACTCCTGCCCTACAGCCCGACCTCCGTACGCCTGGGCTCTGTTGTCCAGGAACATCCTGGTTCCTCTTAGACCGTGGATGTTGTCAGATCAGAGAGTCCCAGTTAAGGGAGGTACAACCTGTACATTGTTATATGGTACCTAATAATAGGCAATGCAGAACTACTTAGTTTTGTGGAGATGTTTTAAAGATGAGACATCCAACACACACACAACTCATTACTGTATTAACAAATGGGAACACAATTCTCATAGGGAGTATAAAAATCTTTAAATCTTGCATTTTGATTGCAGAAGTACAACAGGGGTGGAATAGTAAAGTCACACAATGACTGTACTGTAATAATCCTGCAAAGGAGTTTTTTGGTCTTTGGCTTTGCGTTTGAGCTATATAGATCACATGATAGCATATTCAAACATTACAGTAATAATATATTTAGCACTTCAAGGACAGTCGTCGTTTTTGTTTATTTGTTTTCTAGGTCCAAAGCCCTACTTCCTGTCTGTACCGACTAGATGGATCCAAGCCTCTCTACTCCACACCCATTTTTACAAAGGTCTGTTTTCTCTATCGTATATATTTACATTTGATTTTCCAGTCTTTAATAATACATAAATGCTTTAATTGTGTTAAAACATATACTGTATAACTTTTCCTTGTGGGGACTAGTGGCTACTTAGGAAAAATAGCTTTACATTACAGTAGTGTGTTTCCTGTTCTTTTACTCTGTTGAAAAGTTTTAAAGAATTCTATGTGTATTTGTGTAGCATACCTGTCAGTACTGAACTTGGCCATGGCTACAAACATTAAAAAGAGAACATTTGGCAATGCATGCTGATAAGACAGACCCATTCCCATGATTGTATCCTGGATAATAAAATCAGATGGTTTTGAAGTTATTTTAACAATCGTCATTCATATATAATACAGTTATTCCTACTCTTCAGACATATGTCATCCATCATTATCCTGAGGATCTTTTAAAAAGTAAGGGTACAAACCATTTATTTGTCAGTGAGGAATCATTGGTGGTACGTCTATTAAGGGTTATAGAACCTCTGCAATTATTTATAGGTAAATCAGTGTTTAACCTCATATTCACCTTAAATTACTCCTGAAAGTTCATAACATACACTGTTGAAATAAACCAGAGGTTCTCAAAGTGGGAGTCATGACCCCTTGGGGATTGCAAGGTTAATGCATGGATGCTGTGAACTGTCAGTACTGCACATGGGATCTGCCTGTCAGCTCCCATGGTGTATGGTGGGGCTGATAGCCGGAGATCATCTGCCTCCAAAGAAAACTGCCAAAATAGAAGTTTGTCCAGGGTACCATTTTCCTGAAGTCTGTCTGAGACTAGGACAACACTGAGGACTTGATTGTTCAGCCGCTGAAGAGATGTGTTAAACAGCAGACAAATCAGAGCACTGAGATTGGAACAAAAAAAAAGGCAATTTAACAGCAAGACTTATAGGCAGGAGCAGCACTAGAGGATGGCTTGTGGAGTCTGTAGCCACCTGGAAATTTGCCTTTATCGCCCATAGCTACCTCACCCAGCACAAATTTCAAACATTACAAAGAAGTAAGGGCGTCTTTCCAGCAGCCCACCTCTGAAGGGTGACTCTTTGGCTGCCAGCAACAGAGAAGTAAGGATGGGCATTAGGTCTGCTGTGGAAAAAATGATATTGACAAAGTTTCTTTATGCCCTTCAGTATTAAACAGTAGTTATTTATTAAAAAAAATAATGTTTATGACAATACTTTCAATATTTAGTGCATTTAGTCTTAATTTAAAAGCGGTGAGAAAATAATTGTAAGCAATAGGATTTTAAATTTATTTAAAATTGTGATAAATATAAAAATGCGTGTGTTTCATTTCAAAGGGGAGGGGGTCATACTCAGAAGCTTGATGTGTGAAAAGAGCCACCAATGCAAGATTGAGAGCCTCGAGAATAAACAGATCAACGTATCACCAACTGGGAAAGACTGCCCTCTCAAAACATTGCATTCAGCTCTAAGTAACCTGTAGTTAGTCCAGCATTAACATATCACAAGTTTGCATAATCCTCATGTTATACTAACTACAGAGGAAAATCACCAATGCAGAGATTTTAGGCTGTAATACAGCAGAGTGCCTGTGTATGTGTTTAGCTGTAAGCATGTGAGAAGTCAGTGGAATACTGTGGTTAAAATTGAGTACATACTTAAGTGCTTTGTTGAATTAGGGCCTAAAAGTGCAATTTTTATGCACAAAATAGTGACGGTCTGACTGGACTGGTGTTGCTCTGTGGCATGAGCTTTCTTTGCTTCATACTCTTAATATTGGTAACAGAAAGCGTACTGAAAGTTATTCCAATCTCCCTGCCCAGCCCTTGCTTGAGTATGTTTCACCTCTGCTTTAGAAGCTTCAGAAGGTAGCCGAGTTAGTCTGTACAGAAAAAAACAACAAATGGTCTGGTAGCATTTTATAGACTAACAAAACATGTAGATGGTATCATGAGTTTTCGTGGACACAGCCCACTTCTTCAGATGACCAGAGTTTTGAGTTTAGGATGTGCAGACCCAAAATAAATAGAGGTGGGGAGAGACAGGGAGCAGAGAGTGTAGAAAATCAGGAAGGTAGAAGGAATCAGTAAGTATCTGAAGATTGGGTAGTTAAAATGAAACAGATAAGAATCAAAGAATCAGGAAGAATACTATCCATTAACTTTGATTCTTATCTTCGTTTTAACTACCCAGTCTTCAGATACTTACTGATTTCCCTCTACCTTCCTGATTTTCTATACCCTCTGCTCCCTGTCTTCCCCTTCCCTTCCCTTCTCCTATTTATTTTGGGTCTGCATATCCTAAATTCAAAATTCCGGTTATCTGAAGAAGTGGACTGTGTCCACGAAAAATCATGATACCATCTACATTTGTTGTTTTTCTCTGCTTTAGAATTCTTTAACCAAGTGCTGCATATTTCTTGAAATGTATGCAACATTCCATACCAAACTTGTAGGTCAAGCTTCTGTCTCTTTGCAGCTATACACACGTTGAACATTCAACAAATTCATTTGTGCTATTTTACTTTGCTTTGATGGCTTCAAATGTTTCAGAAAAACATCTTAAAAATATCTTTCACATTTTAAATGCAGTCTGAAAATAGTGTTTTTTTACAAATCATTGTAATTCAAACCACCAGTTTGTCCAGTTTTCCTTAACTACTTTCTCTGTTCCTTTCTCTATATTTATCTTGGTTACTAGTGTTTCAGGTACTGATCTGGGAAGGAGTGGTGTAGCCATAAGGGGACGCTTGACTGGGCCTTGACTTTGGGTGGGCTGGCAATGATGGGGGCAAGAGGAGTGGAGCAGAATGGATTGGGCTTCCTACTTTCCAGCTGGTCTTGAGGAAGACAGGAAGGATATGCCTCCCAGGGGATCCAAGGCCCTAGGGACACACCCGTGGAGTGGGGTTTGCATGCAGGTCCTTGCCCCATTCCACCCACATATCCCTGCACTTCCACTCCCTGGCTGAAGGTGCAGTGCCGGGCAGAGTGGGGTAAGCCCCTATACCCCAATCCTGCTTCTCAGTTGGTACACTGGATTGGCTGGTGGAGTGGGGCGAGCTCTCTGCCCTTCTCCCCAGCTGAGCACCCGGTGGAGCAACTTGAGCTCCCATGTTCCATCCACCTCCGTTCCCCAGCTGCAGTGCTGGGTAGAGTGGGGTAAAGCCCTGCACACCAGTTGTGCTCCTTGGGTGGGGTGCCAGCCAGGCTGGTGCAGCGGGACAAACTCTGGGACATGAGGAGAGTCATGAGGGAAAGTACAAGTGATCCTGGATGTTAAACGGGTGGGCTACAGGGGCTATGCCCCTGCCGTGAAAGTACCTTCTAGGGTTGCACCAGGCTAGAAAATTGATAAATTTTTGTCCTTTTCCTTTTTGAGACTTAGAGCAACTTCACACCTGTTGCTGAGGTAATGTCCTAATGCTGACAGTTTTCCTGTCTATTTAAGCCAAAGCTTACTTCAGTTAATGCAGGATGCCGTGGTATACTTGACTTGGTTGGAGAGAACTGGGAGGGTATAATAAAGTCAGTTAACATAACTTCCCAACACTTAAATGAACACTGTGCATAACCTTATTGTATTGCCAAATAAGAACAATTATTCTCTCATGTCCTGATTAGCCACTATGTAGTTAACAAAGTGCATATCTTAAAAGATGTGTGCTGGCTGAAAATTCTTCATTTCGCACCCCGGAGTTAAAAAAAAAAAATAGAATATACCATTTATTGATATCTACCGCTTGTGTGAAGTTAATCACTTCTCACTTTCTCCTTGATGATATTGTTTTCATCAAGAAGATCATTCTCCTAGAAAACCAGCAGCTTCTGTAGCCATAATAAGAATGGATTTGAAAATAGACACTGTATTAAGCATTTTACAACTGAAGACACTGTTCTTAAAAAGAAAATCAGCAGAATGTTATGATACAATGTAATAGAAGATTGGTGAGGAAGGGATGCTTAACCTGATGGTTTTAAAGTATCTAGGATTTTTGTTGGTGTGTTTTGTTAATTTAAAGCATGTGTGTCACATTTCAGGAGCTTCAAAACTACACTGCATCTGAGGGACAGGTGGTTGTATTAGAGTGCAGAGTCAGGGGAGCGCCTCCCTTGCACGTCGAGTGGTTTCGACAGGGTGTTGAAATCGAAGATTCTCCAGATTTCAGAATTCTCCAAAAAAGTAAGAAATTGCCTCTGGCTAGCCCAAATAATATTCATGTGTTCTCAAGAAAGCACCATGGAATTAACGTCAGTTAGTCAAAGTAGCCACTTTCCACCATAAGGATTGAGTTCTGGGTAAAGGAGAAAACCTCTTATCCACTTATTTTGGTAATAGTAATAAAGACCAAGTAAATTAATTCTGAAAGAACTGGTATAGGCAGGCAATATAAATGTCATCCTTGATTTTTTTTTTCCTGCCAGTATCATCTGCATAGATACTGTACTTGCCTTTAATATTTCTAGAGGGTATGTCTACACTTGCACCCTCTTTCGAGAAAGGGATGCAAATGAAGATATTCGAAATGGCAACTAACAATATCATCCAAAGCCCAAGGTTGGGTGGTGATGGGGGACTTCAACTATCCAGATATATGGATAAGGCAGAAAGGGATCTAGGGGTTATAGTGGACCACAAACTGAATATGAGTCAGCAGTGTGATGCTGTTGCAAAAAAAGCAAATATGATTCTGGGATGCATTAACAGGTGTGTTATGAGCAAGACAGGAGAAGTCATTCTTCCGCTCTACTCTGCGCTGCTTAGGCCTCAGTTGGAGTATTGTGTCCAGTTCTGGGCACCGCATTTCAAGAAAGATGTGGAGAAATTGGAGATGGTCCAGAGAAGAGCAACAAGAATGATTAAAGGTCTAGAGAACATGACCTATGAAGGAAGGCTGAAAGAATTGGGTTTGTTTAGTTTAGAAAAGAAAAGACTGAGGGGGGACATGATAGCCGTTTTCAGATATCTAAAAGGGTGTCATAAGGAGGAGGAAGAAAATTTGTTTATCTTGGCCTCTGAGGATAGAACAAGAAGCAATGGGCTTAAACTTCAGCAAGGGAGGTTTAGGATGGACATTAGGAAAAAGTTCCTAACTGTCAGGGTAGTCAAACACTGGCATAAATTGCCCAGTACGGTTCTGGAATCCCCATCTCTGGAGATATTTAAGAGTAGGTTAGATAAATGTCTGTCAGGGATGGTCTAGACAGTATTTGGTCCTGTCTTGAGGGCAGGGGACTGGACTTGATGACCTCTCGAGATCCCTTCCAGTCCTAGTATTCTATGATTCTTTGAAGCCAGGATTTAAATATCCCGTGCTTCATTTACATATTTGCGTTATAGTGCTATTTCAAAATAGTGCTATTTCGAAATAACAGATGCTGTTAAGATGCAGTTATTTCAAGAGGAAAACCCTTCTCTCGAAATAACCCTTACTCCTCATACAATGAGGTTTACCATTTATTTCAAGAGAAGGGTTTTCTTTCGAAATAACCACGTCTTAACAGTGTCTGTTATTTCGAAATAATACCATAACGTGAATATGCAAAAGAAGCATGGGATATTTAAATCCCGGCTTAATTTGCAATTTTAAATGTCTTCATTTGCATCCCTCTCTCGAAAGATTGTGCAAGTGTAGATATACCCATACAGAACTTCTGTTCTTGGTATTAATGTGACCTCTTTCTAATGCATTCTTCTTGTTGTTTTTTTCTCCTTGGATAATGTGATATCCAGAGCCCCGGTCTGCAGCTGAACCTGGTAAGAATCATATGAAAAAATAATCTTTTGCCTCACTAGTTCTTTGTGTTTGTATTAAAGCCATAAATAGAACTATGTTACTGGAGCACATTGGTAATATAACCCCCCTCCCCCTTAAAGGCACTGTATTCTTTTGTCACAGGGTTCATATTCTGCACTGTACTTTACATCAGTTCTTGTATTAGTTAAACAGTATATTCCATTCAGATCAAAATAGAGGGCTCCACTGACTAAACTTTTAAACCATCTTTATTCTCAGAAAAGGAGCAACTTGCAAGCTAATGAGGAGAAACAGTCCCCACAAAATTATATTCTGTTTGCTTAGTTTGGTATCACCAGACCACTAAATGCTGGTTCTTCTTTGCCATACTGTGTGTGTGTGTTCACATGTGCATGTGCGCGTGTATGCATGCATAAAATCACACCATCATGGCACCTTCTAGGTGCTGTTCTGTGAAAGTGAAGGAAAATGGCTTCTTCTGAAGCAATTGTTTAGGCTTTTGCATAGATTCCTTGACAAATGTCCTTTAAGAACACTGCAGTTAACCTTCCTCCTCCTCCTCCTCTCCCCTTTCTCCAGAGATTGTCAAAAGAAAAATTGGTTAGTAGGAGCTAATGGGACTAAATGCTACCAAATCTGTAGTGTCCCAGCTTTGGCTAAAACTTACAGAATGAAGCACTACCTACTGCCAATGACTAGGGTTACTCCAGCCACTCTAGCTTAGTACACTTGGCTGCCCAGCAGGGAGCTCTTAGCCCTGCAGCACATAAATGGCAGACAGCAGAGAGAAGGTACAGAATTATGTTAAGCATCATGTAAACATATGCCTGTTTTTTTTTGTGCTACCTCTGCTGCTACTTTCCAAGATCAAACAACAAATGGAGGAAGGAATGCCTCCCAGGTTGGTGGTAGAGCATGTCAGGTAGGAAAAAGGGCTCTGAGACTGGAGCTGTTTTTCTGCATATGGAGAGATGAGTGTGGATGTGGGATTTTCTGGGCCTTGTGATATCAGACAAGAGATGGCTCAACTCATAAACAAGCAACTATGGAGAAGTTAGGTCAGAAGAGAAGAGTTCTCTGCCTGTTGTGTGAGATTTTCTGAGATAAGACTTGGACTTTGAGTTTCTGCACTAGTGGGCATGGGATGAATCAGCAGGATTGAATGCACGAGGAATGGAGTCAGCTGGTGATTTGGGTGGATGAATTAGATGTGCAATTGAGGGATCTATGGTAAAAGCGAGGCTGAAGAGGAAGAGATTGTAACTAGGAAAAATAGTGAAGAACTAATATGAATATAAGTATCGTCTTCCACTGTGTCTCTTATGAAAGAGGCTGCTCCTTCCCTCTTCCCACTTCTTCACCATCCTCTCTTATTCCACTAGTAAAAATACTTCCCTGCTGTGCCCCCAAATATAGCACCTCAGTTTTGGACCTGGAAAACATTGACTAGTAGAGGATGTAGAGAGGTGGGTGTGCAGGGATTATTGCATGCATGCATGCCCATCACGTAGTTTAGGCATCAGTTATAATTAATTATTGGAGATTGCCTATCTCCTAGAACTGGAAGGGACCTTGAAAGGTCATGGAATCCAGTCCCCTGCTTTCACATTAGGACCAAGTACCATCATGCAAATAATTACAAAACTTGAATCAGTGCCCTTTTTTAAATTGTAACTACCTCACATTGTATACTGAGCCCTGAAATGTGAGATGTGCTAGGTAACAACGTTACAAGAAAGTTGACAGCAATATATTTGCTCAAACTGACCTCTCACAAGGATTAACAATGAGTCCAGGTATTAACTGTGCGGTTTGGATTATAATTATATACTAGTCTATATTTGTTAAGGATGTCAAATTACAGTATAATCCAATTTTTCTAAAGGGTCTCAGATACCTCTGAACCTTTGGATATGCAGGGGAGTAACATGGTATGCATTGCCATTGTGAACTGTAACTGATGGTTAACTAGAAGTTTGATTATATGGCAGTCAGAGACATTGGGCTAAATGAGGAGATATTAAAAGTAACTAAGAGGTTTCATACCAGTACTGTACTGATAACTGACTATTTGGTTTGGGTGCAGATGCAGAAAATTGTTTCCCATTGACCCAAAAACAAGGTTTAGTAACTTTTGGCAAACAAATATATAGAGCAAAAAATAATTTTGTTTGAATGAAAATGTTTCTCAGTTCCAAATAAAACACTTTATTTTGATTCTGTGGCTTAGCACATTTGTAAATGTTTTTAAAATAAAAATGAGGAAAATTCCAAAATGTTTTTCCAACACAAAATGTAGATATGTTTAGTTTGAGAAATGCTGAAACTGTTTTGACGTTTCCAAATTTTTAACCAAAACAATTTGCCAAAATCTACTTTGGTTAAAACCATTCTTAAATTAATCAAAAACTGCATTTTAGAGTGAGAAAAGATTTTTGCATAAAATTTTTTTGCGTTGTATTTAGGAGCCCAGGCTCCATTGAAAGACAATGTGAGCACTGTTCCTAAATTTCTGTGGCACTACTACAGACTTTCTCCTTAATATGTCTTGTAGTAAAATGATTATACTAAAGTTATTGGGTTTTTTTTAGATTTTATTAAACAAAGTGGATCAGTGTGTTAAGTTCCTTTGGGAAAATGGAAATTATTTTTCTTTGGGGAATGAGCAGGGCAACACACAGACTGGTCCTTTGGACTGCAGACAGGGAAGACCAGCTAACACCATTAAGAGACCCAGCCCCCTACTCAGGGTGGAGAACAAGAGTCTCTAGCTCAGGCCTGTGCCTGAGGACAAGCAACCTCCTTTGTAAAGTGAACTACAAGAGCTAGGTGGAAGTGATTT